TAGCCCTTCCTAGCATTCTTTCGCCCTTTTTGAACTTATTAAATCAATTCCTTTTTTTTTAAATTTATTCATTTTTCAATGTTTTTTTAAAATTATAATGATCAGTAGTACTAAACAACAAAATCGTTACTTTAAATATGAAATTTACAATCATCATCTGATCTGATAAACTGTAACTATTCGATAGGACTTAATTTATTGAACTGGAAATTAAAAAAAATGAAAAGCCAAAGAATTAAACTTTTGGAAAAATATATACTTCTGTATATTGAAGTATATATTAGTCATTTGTTCAAAAATACGCCCATTTCTTTCGAGAAGTTCTATGCTTATGGATAGCTGTTTTCCGTACGTCACCGCCCACGCATGTAGTTTTATTTTACGTCTAAGTTAATATTTTTAGACGAAAGAATACTATGATGTCAAAGGATGTTGTGTGTAAATGACACTCCTTTATTTGATTTGTCTGACAATGCAACACGATTATTTTTGGCCGCTTTGGAAGCCTTTCAAAGGTCAGTATGTATCATATCAACTAAAGCCAAGTGTTGGAAGGCCAAAACACAAATTAGAAATGATGAGTGGAATCAGATGTAATAGGAATTGCCTTCTACTACTTATCATTTAACTTTCACTTTGAAGAGTTCAACTGATTACTGGAAAGTACATTTGCCTGATTGCAGGACCTATTCTCCGGTGCATGGTTTCATCTGCATAGTAATATGCACATTCAGCATTGGAACCAACTTGATACATATATTGGTACTAACTAGGCCAAATATGAGGTGCTCGGCGGTAAACTGTGTACTAACAATGGTTGCTATTTGCGATATGGGTACCATGGGATCGTATTTCATATACATTTGCCATTTTGTACTTTTCAAAGATACTACTTGGTTAGTTTCAATGATTCAGTGTAGCTTCAATGATTGTTATTCTCGTTTTACAATTTCACATGCAGTTTGGTAATATCACTCTTCATCTATTGTCAGTGTTTTTAAATGCTTGTACTTGTATCAGCAACTGCTGAAAGTTAGAACATTTCTTTTCAAGATATGTTCATTAATCATTTTGATTTATAATGTGACTAAAGAACATTTAAGATGACAAAAATTTGAAGTTGAAATTTCCACATTTGCACATCATTGTATGTAAGAGTCTATACAACATCTTCGTTTTCTGTCACATTCAGCTATAAAAATTCTTGAATGTCAGACAACTGAGAATTCGTATGTCACCAATGCAATGCAAATCATATAAAAATTGCTTGACAACAGTCACTATTTTGAATTCTTTTCCAAATATGAGTTATTCCCTCGAGAGTCATTTTTTTCTATCAATGAATGACTGATTCCTTTAAAATTCATCTTTTGAACAGATCAAATATTAATTTAATAAACATTATGCAAATATAAACGACTTATTGCAGTGTGCTTATTTATTCCTATTTATGGATGCGGTATTTATTATGTCATATGGTACTGAGCATCACTTTGCATACAACTTCTCTCTGGTTAATTGTTGCAATGGCTTTTATCCGTCAGATGACTTTGAGAAATGCTATCCTCAATAGGTAATTACTCTTGAAACCTGTCCTTTATATTCCTGGCCATTAAAATCATCATGTATCGTTTTTTTTAACAGTAAGAAAAATAAGTTCTGTCATTTATTGATATAGTATAAAGCTATTAGATGCGTAGTAAAATTGAATTCGTAAGCTAATTAAAACCACTTTGTTGTTGTTAGAATTCACTTCAAATTATTTGTTGAAGAATACCACTTGGTTAGCTTCAATAATTGCAGTTTCAGCGATTGTTATTCTCATTTTGTATTTTCATCACAGAGAGATGCAATATTATCATATTTTAATGAAACTTATGTATTTACAGCAACTGGCAGAAGCCACAGATGGCCTGGAGAGTTTGCACTTTAATATACTTCTGTGTGTTCATACTCTGCATACCGACATTTCTAATGTATGATGTGGTTGAAGTTGGTGATTGGCATCCTGCACCGCATTGCTCTCATAGCTTTCCACCTAATTACACTGCTAAGTATTACACCTTTCATGTAAGCTGATTTATTAAATCCAGAGGTTTATTAACTGTTGGGATAACTTCTTCAATATTTGCAACTATTAGATATGTGAATAGATATGAGAAGTCAATTCTACTGATCGCAACAATTGTTGGTGTAAAAACTTTAATTTATTGCTCGCAATCATTGTTGATCTTACTATTTACCGTATTTGTCATTTAATCGTTGAAATTTACAATTAAATTCCATATTATGGAATCACTGTTACTACGAATAGTTCATCGATAAAGTATTATTCCCAAAATATTTTGTGTCTGTAATTTCACTAATTATTGTTTCTACAGATGTCACCGTCTGCAATGGCAAATGGATGTCGTTTTTTTAAATGGAATTTATGGATGTCGGGAATCATTTTCAAGGTATTTGTACTTCATTCCTTGAAAGTTTTTATAATTGGTAACTACTTTTTGTTATTTACACGCTAGCTAGCAAAAATTATGTATATGACCAAAAAGTCTGTAAGTTGAAGCAAATTAAGTTGACTTAAGATCAAACATAAGAAATATTTTTTGCATCCTTAATAACTTTATTTTATCGAGCCCGACAATTCTATTGTTTTTTACAGGTTGTACCATGCATATTGCTACTTTATTTTTCATCAAGTCTTATATTGACATTACATCAAACAACTAAAAAGCGTAAACTAATATTGAAATATAACTCAACAAAAATAAGAAGGTTTTTTTATTAACTTTCTCAAAAGATATCTTGAAATAACAGAAGAGTGGTATATTACTGTGTTAAGTGCTGATGTTTATTTAGTGATAAGTTTGAGTTTTTTGAAAGGCAGCACTGCTTATTGTAACAAATTTGCTTATCTGGAAAGGTAAGTTCTTTAATAATCTGATTAGAATTGAGAAATATAAAAATCAAAAACTTTAATTTAAAAAGTATTATTTACACCATTTATTAGTTTTGGAAAAATGCAACTTACGACTAATAAATCAGAAAAATTTTATTATAAATTTCGAATAAAAATGAGATGAATTTCAGAGGTGTCACTAAGTCAGATCGGACGTCAGCTCTATTACTTGCCATAGTGTTAGTATTTCTAATTGCCGAGATGCCGCAAGGTATCATCGCCATCATGAATGCTATTTATACCACTCATGTGCACATATATATTTACTTTAATCTCGGTGATATCCTTGACCTTCTCTCACTGCTCAATTCATCCATTACCTTCGTCCTTTATTGCTTAATGTCTTCCAGGTTGGTAACATATTCATAAAAATATTTTTTTATGAATCAGTTGAAAATAAAAATCTTTCATTTCTTAATCATTCAACATGAAATTGTGTGATTGTTACTTGTCTTTCAAATACTTTCAATTGCTTCAGATACAGAGATACATTCTGGACAGTCGTGCTACCTAAGCATTTTTTCAGGTTTGTTACATTCCCTTTCATCCTTAGTTTCTTAAAATTGTATTTATAAGTTTATTTCTACAGAAATATCGAGTAAACAACAGGTATGTTTCAAATGGCTAGTGTTTGGAGCTTAAAACTTAGTAAAATAGAAATTTATTATTTCTTACAGATAAAAATTTGGAATTAGTCAAAACAGTGTCCAGACTTACGTAAATTTTTTTCTGGAGAGCTACTGGATGGTTAATCAACATTTCCATAGAAATTATTACAAAACTCGAAATTCAAAAAAATGAATAAAATAATGAGCTATTATTTGGATCTCCACTCTTTTTCCATTTTTTTAAAAGAAGTCCGAAAATTAAAGAACGATTTTTCATATGAATTTTTTAAATTTAGAGTTAAAATTATTAAAAATGCCAAAATTTTAGAGAGTTCACCAGAAAGAAAACATCAGAAATGCTTTCATCAGAAATGCATTCCACACAGAAGCAAATAAACAAACCATCCCTTGCAACAATAACTGTGAAACCAGAATCCTGAAGTAAACAACTCGGTTAAATACGCCTACAGGTAGCAATTTCGAGTTGTTTTGAAAAGAATTCTAAAATACAAAAACTTGGAATAATATGGTAATTGGAGTTTATTTTTATAGAAAAAAATTTGCGACTAGTCAAACTAATGACTTATGTAAATTCTTTTCTGGAAAAGCAACTAGACTGCTAATCTACATTCCGCAAAACTTTATACAGATATATTCAAGAGGGCAAATTCAGACTATCAACTTTAAACGGATTTTTATGAAAAGGCAGGTAACTAAACAATAAAGTATACATTATTTATTATAAAATGTGGCCCTCGATTGTACAATAAATTTAGAAATTGTCTTAGCAACTCGACTTCTACCACAGCTCAGTTTGATATGTCTTTTAATCAGTTTGGTTTTGCAGGCCATGCAACTAATCTGCTATCTGACCAACCTTTAAATGATGGCGACCACACATTAGAAAGATGAAAGATTGAGGATCAATCCAGACATAGACATCCTGGATGCGCGATTGTCTTTCAGTAACATAATAGCAAAGTGTATGTTAAAAGCGCCAAATGCTATTTTCTTGAACAAGACGTAATCTTTAATCTAAATTATTTCACAGAGTGTTTACAATTATCTACAACAAGAAGCAAATTGCCAGTCAAAATGAATTTGTCTATCAAGCGGTATCGTCGTGTAGAAACAAGGTGTCATGTTAACAAAAAACAAAAAAAAAAAAAAAAAAAAATTCAGTAGCAACACTAAAGGTGATTTTTATGAAGACTTCTACTGGAATGACTATTGTATCAGAGACTTTATTGATCATAAAATTATCACTGCGAAAGTAACAATTGAGTCGTAAATTAAAGCCACAATCCTTTACATACATAACAAGATCATCGACAGAAATCTTTGTTCTTAAAATGAATTCGTTTAGCAGGCGGTCTGCCGTAATCTGTTTCCAAACAAAGAAATATCAGGTACTGTCTTGTACACATAAACTATCAGTTCTTGATAGTTCTATCCAGTTTCTCATCCTCATTGTAAATTTTTTCCAACTCTTTCAAGTTTGGACAACATATACCTGTAAATTAAACCACTGTGACCTATTCAGTAAGGCTGAGTGTTAAATAAATCTGTTTCCAAACAAACAAAATTAATGGTTAACTGCTTAAAACCTAAGTCTCTTTTTAAGGTGATTTTACAAAAAAAAAAAAACATATTAAGCCATTTTTCTGCTACAACGAAAAATGTGGTAAGCCAGATGTTCTAACAGATTGGTGAATGTGTTTCAGTAGGTTTTAGTATAAGTAATATTCACTACACCTTTCCTCGTAGTATCATTCGCTGTTTTGTATTCACATCGGAATCCTTCGGGACAATTTTTGTCACATGTATGAATTCCAATATCTGCGGCTAGTAGAGGTTTTCCACCGTCGCGACAGTTCGGAATTTCCCCACCATAATCCAGTTCTTCGGGTAGTGGTACTAGAAAACAAAGCATAAACTTGGCAGAAAAAGGATTTAATCAAAGCTCAGTCTATACTTATTATCATACTAAAGATTATGGCAACACTGAAATTGGTAGGACTTACTTGCACTAATGGACAGCACAAATAACAATCCTAAACAATGATAAAACATTGGGGTAATTGTAGAGCACGATGCTGCACTGGTGGATGGATACTACTCGTTGAAGAATCAACTCCGCAAACTAACAATTTTTTACCATTAAATAGTTGTTCCTGACGAATACAGATGGAAAGTGGTACACATTGTTGAGGATAAGTAGAGAGGTCATCTTTCCTCTTCTTCCTGGAAAATTTCCGTGAATGTCAAATACTGGAACAAAACAAAAGATCGGTGACATTTTGTCGACCTCGTCTTCTCTTCCTCTCTCTATTCTTATGTCCCCACGCTACTTCTCTTACTTTGCAGATATTGAAGCAATGAATTTTACTTTTTTTACTGATACTATGCCCAAACATGTCATAATGAGGCTATATTCTTAGAAAATATGCAGAATGTTCGCTTCCATAATAACGAAATTTCTGATAATGATGATAACGATGACAATATTGATAGCAGTAGCAAAGTTAGTAATACACTGCTAATGACAATGATAATGGTGATGCTGATAATAATAATAATAATAATAATAATAATAATAATAATAAATGACGATGACAATGATGATGATGGTGTGATGGTAACAATGATATTAATATGATAATGATAACTGATGTTACAGTCAAAAAGAATGGCCTTATTTTCATGAACATTTAATTTTCGTGAAACCACTTGTCAATCCCGTTAATCAATCAAATCATACTTCTGTATCCGTTAATTATTTGATACCGGTTTCTTTGTTTGCAAGTCTGTTCGTCACCTTCTCACAACTATTTCATAAAATGTCACAGCCCATTCATCAATAAAACCTTCACTTTTGAAAAGATGTAAAGTGAACTTGCTGATAACATTATCGTCAAGTAGTGTAGTGTATTGGATGATAATAACGGAACAGTAGATAAACCTCACATACCTCACCATCTGAAGTATTAAGCAATCAGGTCTCTAACTGAATAGGAAACGGGCTGGGATGCAAGTTGCGAGACTTACCTGCTGGTAAGTTGTTCCTAATGACAAGTGATAATTGCATCTAATCTGATTTGCCCAATTTGCTGTTTAATAATTAATTATGTATCACCAGTTCGCTGTCCGTTTTGGATTTTGAAGTATATACACTTAAATTTAAATACCATAAGGATATAGAATTTTGTTACCAGGAAGTAATTAATTCATCATGAGAATGATTGATATATTTGAGGTTACGCCGAAGGAATTTGGTATTTACCATTAATTGTACACACTGTTTATCATCCCAGTTATTTTGATATTAGCGATGTTTTGTTTCCAAAACCCGTTTTTTATACTTCTTTTTTCAGTGGTTTAAGTGTACTAATAATACTCAACAAAACAAATCCCATTAACCTTAGGTTTTGGTCGATGTCCAGCATAAAAGTCGATAAAGGTTTCCGATTAGTAATTATTGGTGCTGGACCTACTGCATTCGGTATGCTCCATCGTATTTATTCATTGATAGCGGAAGGAATCATATCGAAGGAGGACATACAGGTTATATCCATTTGTTTATTCTTTGTCATACAGATTATATCCATTTGTTAAGCTTTGATGTTTCTCCTCGATAATATTTCACGTAATTCACATCTGGAAGTTTTATTTATTTTTTTTTGATTTGAGATTATCGTTCTGGAAAAAGAAGATGAAGTTGGTGGTTTGGCAAGATCAGTAACAGATGAAAAAGGATTCACGTGGGATTTAGGTGTACATGTTTTGGGTGTGTCAAAGTATCCGGAATTCGAAAAAGTTATTAACTCTGTTGTGAATAAGTGGAATAAAGTCAGGCGTTCTGCTAAGGTAAGCTGCCATTACTAAGAACTACTGAATATTTAAAATTTTGAGAAATTGAGAAGTCGCGCAAAAAATTCCTCAAATTCCCGTGGTGAAATATTGCTTATTTATTTGCAGGCCGATTTAGCTCATTTATTTAAAAGCGATAATTCGTGCAGCAACTACGTACCATATCCTGTTCAACATTCTATTCCCTATTTTCCACCTAGTATTAGGCAAAAATGCATCAATGAATTGAAAGACCTGCAAGGCTTACCTGTCAATTGTTCGAACTTTGCTGAATATAGTGCAAATATATTCGGAAATACATTGTTGGATATTTTTATTAGACCATACAATCGTAAGGTGAATTCGGATTTCAATGAATGACTTCATATTGATATAAGTTTAATAGATTTTGAACTTTGAAATGAATTTTATAGTCAATCACAAGAAACAGTTTATACAAGTGCTGCTAATGTTGTGATTGGAAAAGAAAGTGGAATTACTGTGTTTGTTTCGGTATGGACAGTTGAACTGGAAGAAATGAACGCATTTTGGGCATGGAATCGAATACCAAATATTGATTTGTCTAGTATTGAATTACACTGTGGACGGAGCCGGCAAGAACTTGAAAGTGATCTTAGATCATCTATGGCATGCTTCAGGTAAGTAGTTTGGTCTCACTTTTGATGCCTCATCCAATTTCTTAACAGGATGGCTTTTTTTTTTTTCTTTTTACACTAAATTCTCACTGTTTGTCAGATATCCGAGAGACTACAAAGGTGTAGGCAAAATTTGGAAAAAAATTGCTGAACGATATCCAGAGTCCATTTTTCATTTTCAAGAAAGAGTACGAAGGATCGATATTAAAGCAAAAAAGGTGTTTTTCTATGATTTTTTTCTTCCTTCTGAAGTTCAGTTTCTCATAATTTAAATTAGCCATAATAATTATGTGCGCCCATTATATCAGTGGCTATCATCGTTTTTAGTTTTGCAGGTAATTACGGAAGATTTAAACTGCGAAACACATTCGTATGATTATAATGCTGTATTGTCTACCTTACCGATTCCTGAACTGTCGAGGATCTCTACAGTAATTAGTGATGTCAACTTAAAACATTCCAAGGTCTTTTGCATTTTAATACACTGCTTTTAATAAAATTAACAATGCGAATCTTGAATTTTTCACTCCTTTGTTTTCTTTTTAGGTAATCCTTGTTGGTCTTGGTTTGAAATATCCACAGTGCGAATGGACTCAATTTGTAACGTGGGCGTATTTTCCATTACCTGACACTATTTTTTATAGGTTTGTTGTGGATCCAAATCTACCTTTCATCCTGTCAAATTTCTAGAAATTTGTTATATAATTTTCATGTTCTTTATTTTAGATGCACCTTCTTATCCAATTTCAACGATAACTTAACACCAGATTGCAATCAATTTTGGTCAGTTCTATGTGAGATCGGATTGGAAGCTGACGCCAGTTTTGTTGAAGAAGAAGTTATAGTTAAAGTAGTTGAAGGTTTGATCGTACTTATTATTTCTTCGTTAAATTATATAAGCTAAGTTTATTTTTTGGGTGCAATAGCACATTTTTCTTAATCATCTGCAGATTGTATAACTGTTTCTTCGGTAGATGAAGGTTCATTTTTAATTTTGTTAATCGGTGAATGTGGTTAATTGTTGTAGGTTTGAAACTCAAAGGCATAATAGCTGATAGTAACGAAATTGTTGACAAATGGTTGTGTATTCTGCCATATGGATATCCGATTCCAACTGTTAACAGAGACGAAGAGTTACAACGCTGTCATGAAGCGTTCCAAGTAGGTCCCTCTTTCAGCAAAAATATTTTCATAATATTCATATTTAGAACTTCATAAATTTTAGGAAAGTTCTTATTTTTTACTACTGTTCAGGCACATAATATTTATTCACGTGGACGATTTGGTGGTTGGAAATATGAAATATCTAATCAGGACCACTGCTTCATAATGGGCATGCAGTGTGCAGACCTCATTCTTCTTGAAGTTAAGGAAACATTGTATACTTTTTAATTTCAGAAAAGTTTTGTGCTTTATAAATTATTTCTAAAAATGTTACACTTTACCTTAACATTCGTAAATGTATAAAAACTTGTCGACTAGTATATTACAAATTGTTCTACACATTGTGCACAACAAAATGTTTTGTTAACAAAGGCACAAAAGTAATTACACGAAAACAATCAATCAAAAAAGCGAAATACAGAAAAGAACTAACCATTTGTGCTTGCCATCGAGCTCTGCTAAAAAAAATTCGGAAAGTTTCATTCTTTCAAATTCATCTTAATGAGGAAATGAAATTTAATGTTGATTGGAAATTTTGCATAAATGAGTTACATTTGTATTTCTTGGAAATTCATTAATTCAGTTTTTATAGAAATTTTGATACTGACTTCCCATAGTCCCTTGCGAAACTGCTTTGCTATAAAGGGGATTTTTTAAACTATGTGGTAGCATTATGCGCAGTACTCGAAGACCTCAACACTTACTACAATTTTGTATGACACGCGCACACGATAAATGAAAAAAGGAACTACCATGGACGACTTTGTAAAGAAATAGAATCAAAATCATAATACATTGGGTACAAATCACGACTGATTGTGAAAGAACTCGAAATAAAGTAGTAAAAGGTATATGAGTAAAAAACATGCTTTCTACTTGCAGTGTTAAAAAAGTTAAAATTCTTACCTTTATTCTACAAAGGAGATCAGTAACTTCTGCGTTTGTACTACCATCTGACTGGTATTTTTCATTTCTTTCTAATGTGTAGATTTAGGTTAATTTTTAAACTTCCTAATGTGATTAATTCCTGATCTCCGATAAATTCTCTAATTTCATTTCTTAACTTTCTCTTAATTTTCTTCACATGTAAAGAATGGAAGGGACTTTTGCATTGCAATGTTATCCCATCAACTGCTATGCAGTGCTTCAAAATTACAAACAAAATTAATTTTTTCCCTTTAATCTTTTTATCGAAGTCTGCTTGTTAAATGGTCAGCTGGAACGTTCGCTGTTTTCTAATTGAGCTGCACTTAGCGCTGCTGTTGACATGATTTGTAAGAGACTCTGCAAAGAGGAAATTACATGCATATATATTAGTAAATGTATAAATAATAAGTAAATAAATAACTGAATAAATAGATAAATAAATAAATATATGGAATTAAACCAATGGAATCGTGGAATCATACCTGTTGCAAGGTGAGCGAATTAATAGGAAACATAAATTGTTGACTGGTTTGTTGGTTCTCGCAAGAATTGTTGTTGCTGCCATTGCCATTAGCGAATAAAGAAGTATTATCAGCTCCTAAAATTAAATTAACTTTTCAAATCCAACCGCTTAGGGCAACATTAACGTTTCCTTTTCTGAGATTTCTGAATCTGCTAAAGCAATTATCCACTTTTGATTTTGTTAAATATAAATTGTCATTAACCTTCGTCATTTGTATAAACCACTCCTTGAGGTATCTGATACATGATAGTGTTGTTCGTAGTTGAAGCCGAGTTCAAGCCTGAAAAGTTACTGAGAAGGTTGTGATCACAAAATTTCAACTTACCAAATAAATTATAATTTCAATCATTTTAATATTTTTTCATATTGTTGAAGAAGTTAAATTCAAAAGCGATATCCAAAAACAGATGATGATCTTACTCATATTATCAGCAATTGTTTATGAGAAAAAAGAAAAAGTAAATTACAAAGTGCTACTGGGGAAAGCATATATTGATAGATTGCTAAAAGTAATGCAAATAGCCATGTTGGCAAATAAGGATTACCTGGTAACAGAAATGGTGCAAGAAGAGGGAATGTTGCGGTGGCTTGAACATTGGTATTAGTAGCAATGTTACCAGTGGTACCATTATGAGCATTATTACCATAGTTTCTGTTATTATTATTACTATTATTAATGACGCTTCTAACATCATTAGTGTTATTAATTTTTGCTTTGCTTTTTTGTAACTGTCGTTGAGCGGCCGCAACACGAAGAGCTTCTTTTAATGTTTGTTGTAATGATAACGAAGTCGCTTTCTCTGCAAAATGATTAATTTATCGGTCCTAAGGAAAAAACCAATTGCTTATATTATATTCAAATTATGATTTGAAAAAATTAGGTCAACATTTCTGTTAATCCTTTACTAATATTTTAAGCTTTAGATGTAATTTAATTCGAATTAAAAGTTTTGTCACTTTTACTAATTACTACAAGTGAAGTTTCCCGTTCCTCATTATAGCTTCCGTTGTATGACAAAGCATTGCATTTGTGATGAGTGATGCGCCGCCGATCAGTCTATCCAATTTATCTATTTTCTATTTAATTTTTCTATCCATCCCTGTGTCGGTGTTTGCGGAGCTACAGTGTCCACAAATTGACAGCAGCTGTCCAGATTTGGTCTATGTGTGCTTATATCTTGTTAACCCATCTAAAGATTGCTCTCTTCTCAATCTCCTCTTCACCATATATATAAATATAAATGTATATACATATATATCCCAAATGAACGGAAGTTGAAAGAGGTGCATTACAACAGTGGCTACGACTGCATCTATTAATTTCAGTTTTCTCCCCTCTCATCTATGCTACAATTCATAAACTCCATTTCTCGTCGCCCACTCTCCTTTATTCTATTTGCAGACTTAGTTTCCGTATATATCGTGCGCAGCACTACAGCCATTAAAATCCCATTTATATATGCATTAGCTAAATCATCCAGGGAACAACTGTCGCTGACCTCTATGATCAACTTTCGAAGAAGAAGGCGAAAGAAGATAAAATAAAACAGGATGACAGTTGTTACTTCATTTGATAAACCACCATAATGGGTCATCGAGTTACTTACTTTTCAATTCCTCATGCCACAACAAAGAAATTAATTATAGTTTCATGTAAATAAGAAGTTTAAAAAATTAAAGACCATCCATAAATTCACTTTTTATTTATATGCGATTTATTGCATCCTCTATTATCACTTAGGATTTATTATTATCAAGAGTAGAAAGTTTGATATCTACAACAACAAAAATTTCCTAGTTTAATAATTATTCGTCTTTTTTTTTGTACTGAAACATTATGACCTTTTTCTTTATCAGTTTCGCTTTCCTCTATCACAGCGTCATGACTATCAACGCTTTCTGATTCACCTCCATCGGAATTCTCCGCTTCTTCCGGATTACAAGTAGGTGAGGCAGATATCACTGTGGGATGAACCATTGTTGGTAATTCAGGACACTATAAACAAAAACCTCATTAAAATATTGGAAATGATATTAATGGAATGATAAGTTATTGCTAGTGTTTTGAATAAATCAATTTAAAGTCAATTCAAATAAATCAATCAATTTCATGCAGGCTTTTTTGTTACGTTAACTTCTAACTTTAAAACGTTTTGGAACCACGAAAAACATTTGCTAAGGATTGAACAAGTGAATTCTTATCGAAATTTTGCTTTCTCAAATAGCAAATTTTTAAATTTTCTCCAATGAATGTAAAAATTTTGCTAATGTAGAGGAAATGGTTAGTTCATTTAGATCGTTAGCCAGCTAATTTATATAATTACAACTAAAAGTTGGTCCCCTTTAGGATTTTACAAATACAAACATGGGGATGACGTAACATTAGTAGTAGCAGTAATATTGATGACAGTAGCTGTTAAAGAAGATGAAAAGAGAATTAGTTGGTGAAAGTTACCATCTTCAATTACATAAAACCACATAGGAAGAGCTACTACAACCACTGTTGTCACTGCTGAGACCAGTTTTCAACAGGCGTTAAAGCTCCAAATTTGTATACACAGTAGAAAAGCACTCTACGTTGGAAAGCCATGCAAAAGTTTTATTAAGTAATCCAATTTCTGACAAATTTCGATAAAATTAGAACATTCTCATTAATTGTAAAATGCAAATACTAAAATTTCGATCTATTTGCAGACAAAATAATTATTATGCAAATAAAAGTGGAGAAAGAATGGTTTGTTCCTTAATCATCGGTATAGAGAGCGAAATACTTATGTTTAATACCACATTCTAGAACAAAGATAAAAACTAACAGTCGTTAGTCAACTGCAAGAAAAAAGGCATCGGAGATGTGATTTTCCTCTGAACATTTTTATCAAAATACATTTTTGAGTAATGTTGTTCAAATGGCCCAAATCTTATTAAGGTAAAGAAGAGATATCTGGGTAAAAAAAGAAGAGAAGCATCAAAGATTCTCACATGAGTTTGTGTTGTTGTGTATTATGGATTTTCATGCATATTTGATAGGATATCGATCTTGACTTTATTTATTTTAGAAGATCCGATCATGGTTAACATTTTTTTCTTTTTTATGAAATAGTAAACTTACTCGTAACAGTTCGTATTTGCATCACTTCCTTCACTTCTAATCCCTCATTTCAAATCTATTCCATCACATGTTTCATCTCTATCTAGGCATTGCAAACACATAACTTATTAAATGCATCAGTCAATTAATCTAATATCTGAACTTCTCGATGCTTTCCCGATCCGTTATCATTTACGTATTGCAGTTGTTTAGCTTTGCTTTTTATAATAGCGGCAATTTGATGTAACAAATATAGGCGACCAGTGATCTGATGTAAAGTTATTTCGTCTTATTTATCACATTTATCATACACACACACACACACACACATATATATATATACACATACATGCATACATACATACATACACACATACACATACGCCATAACTACTACACATGCATAAATTTCACATCTATCTATCCAATGATCAGCCATCTGAGGAGCATATCCTTCCTTCTTTTCTCCTTTAAACCTTTTTACACATTGGTCTGGCGATAGCCGCGCTGTTGTTGCTGCAAGGTGGTGATGCAGTGAGTGCTATTGGTGCTGTTGTTGTCGTTGAGCAGTTGATGATACTTACTTGCTTGCGTTATTGTTGTTGCACATATTTGCTTGACAGGAAAGCCATCGAAATTTCCTTCTTCCCTGCTCTGTTGGGTTTATTCTTTGAATTTAATGGGAATGGA